TTTCCATTTTCTTTTCCATTAGTCTCAATGGACAGACATTTCTGCTACACCTGCCAGCTTTCACCGTCTGAGCTTGCCTCAGGATGAGGAGGCCCGCTGCCACCTCGTCAAGACCAAACAGTAACCAGAGCCTTTCCAGTGCATCCGCTAACCCCTGACCAAGTATGTAATATGATAAGCTATCTAATAGGTAGTATAAGATAATACAATACAACAGTATAGTAAAAACTAGATGATCTAGTCATATATAGTAGAATATATGTCCTGTCCAGACAAGCTGAGCACTTGACACAGATCAAGCGAATAACCCGACTCGCAGCCATGGCAGGATTTTGGTTCAGGTGATCTGCAGACATCAAGAGACAATACTGTCATAAATCTCGCCTCCGCTGAGGGTGAGGTGTGCATGGCTAGCGCTTTGCTTCCTGGAATTTTAAACGCTAGGCGGATGCGGATCACGCAAGCACTATCCAGCTCGCCTGCTGCACCTGACAAACGCTACTCCCCAAGGGTCTCCCCAAGACACATTGTGTTTTTCATGTTCGCAACTCCGCGACTTGAGCGCAGGCGTCAACAGCTCCGAGTAGAGGTTCAGATGCTGTGACGGGGCCTGCACTGGAAGGTGAAACTTGGTAACTTCTGGATGCTCGGCGGCCTCTCGGAAGCCAGCTTCACGCAGTTTTCGTGAAACCAGATGGACGGTCCACGTCACCGCTCCCATCCCTCACTGGCATACCTTGACAAACACCATCAGTTCCGATCGAGCCTGCTACTGCAGTGGCTACAGGCATCCCTTGGAACATGGGCGGTTGTCCAGGAGCAGCGTCTGCGTTGGGCTGAGCAATGCCAGTGACTGTGCCCATGGGCAGGTCATCCTGCACTGGAACGCCGACTAGCTGAGCAGAATCCCGCTGTGGCGAGGCAATCTGCGATGCGTGCGATGTGGCCTCCTCTAGAATGGGAATGTTGCGCTTTGCAGACATTGCCGCAGCAACTGCGCCGACAACCCAAACCAGCCACATCACTGTTGAGGCCAAGTGCCAAACAGCTTCTACATGTATATCCGTGAACCCATTGTCATTTGTTGTGAGCGTGGGTTGTGCCACGGCTGCTTCACCATCACCCATGCAAACAGCAGGCTGTTGCCTATATGCTATGGCTTCCAGCACTGCTGCTATAAACCTGGCAAAGAAATGTGAGTCTGGCCCAACACAACTCTGAACATGGACAACCTGCCACTGTAGCCAAGAGGCGTCCAGGCAACGAGTATGTGGCCGTAGCGAGAGACTCCGACCAGCTGGGCTTCCTTCAAAGGAGCACCATCTCCACTTGTGACCACTCCGCCATGGAGCAGCACGCCCCAGCCCGCAAATATCGCGGACACGATGAAACTCAAGGCCTGCAGTGTCAACAAATACTCGAACATGCCGAGCATCTGACCATTGTGGGTCTGTTGTGAGATGGCACAAGCGATTCATGCACGATGCGATCTGCATCCTTGCATGACAAATGCTACGCTGCTACGCAGTTTCACCTTCCAACGGCAGCTTGCAAGATTTGCAGCTACAGGTCGAGCTCCCTGAGAAAGGACGCTTGAAAGGATCAATTACGGTAGTAGGATACATCAGCAAATGCCCGGTCAAAATCTGCGCCCTCATGCTGAGGCACCGACCAAGATGTTATGCCAGGAGTACCCATTCTGTTCGTAGCATAAAGTCTCCACCGAGTGGACACTGGCTGACATGCCAGACAAGACAAAGATCAGCGTGAAGATGGCATCAAAGACGAGGCAGACAGCGCCTCAGCCGCAAGATGCCAGTCTCTCGGGTTTAGGGTTTAGGGTTTAGGGTTTAGGGTTTAGGGTTTCTGAAATTTGAGGGATCCCTTGTTGGGAGCGTCAGTGACAAGGATGATCGTATTTTCGCGATTACAAATGTTCCTGTTATTGAAATTGCCGAATATGGGTTGCGGACCGCCAGATGTGTCAGCGGCCCTGACATGCAAGTGACTTCTTGACAAGTCACACAGCACTCGAAATCGCTCCAGGGGCGGGCGATTGTGTAGACATAGGACCATTCGCTCTGTCAAAAGGGATTCGGAACGGGAACAGCGTCGGGCTTCATGTGACTGAGCCAGGCCAGCACAATGGGACGTTGTAATCCCCTAGTCATAAAACTCACGGCCCGTCATATACATATATGTATATATATATATATATGATATATATATATATAAGATATATATATATATACATATATGTGTATATATATATATATATGGTTTACTGATACTATGAAATCAGATGGGAAACCCATCCCGGGGGGTGGGGTGGGGAGAATACATCACTGGGCAAGGGAGATGACATGAGAGCTCATGCGCAAGGGTCTACATGCCCGAGGGTCTACAGCTGCTGACCCGCCTTCACTTTTCCACCAACGTCCCAATTAAAACTTCTACAGAGTTGGCATGTCATGTCTTGGACATGTGCCAGTTTATCCTGTACATTCTGCTAACGCGAACTCACACACGCAGGACTGATGAAGTTTCCTGATGCCACAGGCTGGCTACAACCACTGTTCATGCTTAGTTTGGCCAGCAAGGAATGGATCCCATTGGTGGTCCCTACCCACCCCCCATCAGAACCGCTATATTGATCCTTGCAACCCATTGTCCCTTTCCCAACTAAGCAGGAGTACGGTATCGTGGCAACAGCATCTTGGAAATGTGCTTTGGTCTGAGGCATTTGCTGATGTTGTCGTTGACAGAATCCCACCTGCACATGATCATCTGCTGCCAGCTTGCCCAAAGTGATGGGGTCACATAATAGCATCTCTTAGGTCCTTCCCCCTGAAAGTAACAGTTGCCCCTACAGGTAGGAGGAGCTGTAATAACCATTTTTTGGGAATGCCCCAATCCGTACTAACGACCAGAAAGTTTCTAAGGAGTATAGTATGTTGGGGTCTCTATTGGGGTCCCGTTGTTTTGGGGAACTACGATTTGTGCATTTTTCTAAGCACATCTGAACTCGCATAGTAACCCCTATGATAGTCTTCTATACAATCCCTATATAGTACCCACTTTAAAGAGTTGCGACTGTAATGCACCTGTCTATCAGAAGCTGAAGCTCAGATTCCCCATCGCCGAACCTGGAACCCCGACACCTGACTTATGACTTGCAATAAAAATCCCAGGGAATACACCTCCCAAGAAACCCCCTAAACCCTAACCCCTAAAAACTGTACCAAATCCTAAGCCCTCAGCCCTACACCCCAGACCCGCCTACCACCTTCAAGCATTTTTGCAAACTGCATGCCTGCTCCAAGCTCATCTGACTGACTGCAGCTCATATCATCTTGTGAAGAATCTTGTGCATCAAGATTCTCGCTGACGGTAACTCGCTGAGCTTCGTCGTCTTCTTCTCCTCCCTTGCTCATGACAGACATCTTCGGCGGAAGGCACAGAGGAATTCTTGGTGCTTGGTTCTGCGCTTCATCCTGCCAATCAGCAACGCTTGTTTTAACCGATATGTTTAGCGCGCACTCTGCCGCAAGACTCACTGCTTTGAGGTGGCCCTGGCGGGCACACTGGACGGCGCAGGAATCACCATGCTCCAGCAAGTTCGCTTGCAGCTGGGACTACTACAACGTGGCAAAAACTATTCCAAATTCATACCAGCAGCTCTACATATACATATATATATATATGGTAGTTTCTCAAAATAAGGGCACCCCAATGTAACCCCAAAATACTATAGTCCTTATTATGGGGACCCCCAAAAGGGTACCCTAATTTTGGGAAACCCCCATTATACATATGTAAAATATATGGCTAAGCCGCAGTCTACTACTTTCCTCTTCGAAGCTGTTTCAAAGCAAGCTCCAATCGTACTCAGAAGGCAACTCCTCCAGGACCCGAGAGTCTGTAGCGCTGAAACCATCGAACATGGCGCGGTCATACCTCCGAACAACTCCTTCCCCCATGCATTCAGACCAAACCCCCACGCACTCCTATTTTGAACGAAAGGTGATGGGGTGCAGAGTAATATGGGGAAGCAAGCGCGAGTAAATCGCTTCTGCAGTCTGGGATGGCAGATCCAGCCTGTTCCGGCTTTCTTTTTCGTGCTCATACTTCGGTGGAACTTGTGCATGAGCACTGAGCAATGTATAGAGACCTCAAATGGCATGGGAACCAATCATCGAAGGGGTGCACGAATGGGCTTGGCGTCAAGCTCTGGTTGAAGTCCAAAATCATCTGATCCAGCGGCAAGTCGTTTGGTTCATCTGAAGGCAAATAGCCGAAATTAGCAGGACCTTCCTTCTGCATTTCTGCATAGACCTCCAAATGGCGACTCCAGTTGCAAGGCCGTGAAGTGGATGCACCACCTCATTCCGTGGGTAATTATTAAACAAATACACGCTGGCACCCTTTGGCCTCTCTATTTCTCCCACCTGCCCTTCAAAAGCCCATGAGACATGAGCTAGTCACAAGAATCTTTCACCGGTCCAGAACCAGGGGCTGAGATCACGGCAAGAACAAAGTCACCTCACGATACGTGGCACACAACAACTGCTAAGGCTGACACATGCTGGCACAAACAACAAAAGCTAGCAGCTAGCAGTGGGGCAGCTCCTGCATCCAAGCAGCTGCAAAGGACATTGAGGCTGCATTCAGCGGCAGAAGAAGCATTCCGGAAAGCATTGGCCTCAGCTCAAGCCGTGCGTATCTTGAATCCCCGGGCACCGAAACACGGCAGGATGCATGAGGCTCCAGTGGATGATCAGGATTGCTATGCTGACCTCAAAACACGGAAACCGCGAATTGCGGACAGGACTCACTCACAGAACTTATCCCACCTGGTGGTATGGAAAAGGAAATGGAAAATCTGCAATCTTGCGCGCGTTCTGCAGATTGACGATTCCGCGTGACATCTCCTGCAATCTTTGAATAAGTGGCCGGTCTGTGTCTTCCTTTTATCTTTATTCCCAAAATACAAATTTTGCCACAGGGTGCAGTGTCATGCTGGCATTTTCCAACAATCACGCTGCCCAATCACCTGGAAGACGCGAGATACAACAGGTGGCGGGACTGGTAGAACTCCGTCTGCCATTCGAAGGACCTCTTCGGCATACAAGACTATACAAGAGCAAGCTCGAGTCCACAAGGAACAATGTCAAAGATTACTTGACATGTCCACAGCCTACAAAATTTTCCGCCCAGGCACGACCGCCCTTTGAATCCATTGCTGTATGACTTCTTCCCGGTCCTCTATCTTTTGTAGATACCTGACGTCTCGTCGGTATGCGCTGCACCGCTGTGTGCATGGCATACTTCAAGCTAAGGCTGTGGCGCAAGGCTTACCTACATCGCAGGAGCAGTTCCAGAAACTGATGCTTGCCAGCTGGACAGGACAAGAAGGGGTTGCGCGAAAGGAGATACTGTATGGGAGAAAGACTGTACAACTTCGACTTTGAGATTGCAGAACTTGCAGGCATCTCTTGCGCGAATATGGGATACATGCATTCAGGATTCCGGCATATGGAGCAAGGTTACCAGCGTGTGGGGGGTACAGCTGAAGGTTCTGTCTGGTCCTGTGTGGTTTCAAGTATGCGACAACCATGCCAGCCTTCTCGACTCCATTCACATCGATGATGGTGAAAGCTCGCTCTGTTGGGGAAACTTGCCTGGCTGACGCACAAAGGCACAGCATACAGCATGATCTAAGACAAGTGCACAAACTTATTTCAAGTGGTGTCAGGCAGGCTGTAGCGCGCAGCAGAAAAGCATCGACATCAACCGCGCTAGAAGATGATGAAACTCCATTACCTGGCAAGCTGGTCTGCTGCAAAGCTTGCAGCGTCTCTAACGTCAGCTCATGTGGTGGCCTTGTCTTGCAGCTCAGGTTTTCCAGAGCCTCGGACATGTGCGAACATAAATTGGAATCATTCAGGGTCAACTTCCGTTGACCGAGGAGGATGCTGAAAGCAATTAGGCTGCTGTACGCATTGAACCTCAAAGTCCCAGGGTGCCAGCAAAGCAACAAGCAAAGGTTAAACACCTTGTCCGAGCCCAGAACCATTCTCCACGAACCTTCTGCAGCAACGTTCCACCCTCCCACCATCGATCGTACGCGATTTGAAGGCGCGTAGACAGGATAAAGATCCTCAGGATTGGAACTACGAGCGTTTCGCAGCTTGTTCAAAAGGATCACCCGTCTTGCCTTCTCAAACTCTGAGGTTGCAGCATGACGGCGGTGAAACCTGCCCCAACAAACCTGGATTGGCTTGGGACAATCAAAGCACGCAGAAACCCCAGAAATTGTATTGGGGTTACATTGGGATAATGGAAAATAACATGGAAGCTACCCCTTACCCCCTGATGTTCCACGTGTGAGTGGCGTTTGGCGTTGGAACGGAAGGAGTTTTAGAGCAACTAAGCACGGTGCATCACAGCCTCTGTCGTCTCTGCGTCTCGTCCAAAACTACCTTCCGCCGCTATAAGAGCGGCTACCTGTGAAGCTTTTGGAGTGTCACCCTTTACCGCGTACGAGTAAACTGGCCATGCCGAGAGCAGCACGCCGTACGTCAGCATTGCATTCCTTTGCTGCAGGTCATGACGTGCACGGGTCTGACACGTCTGCCCTGCAAGCACGAAGAGTTCTTAGACATAACAAAGCTGTAGTGTCTTGATGTGTCGTTGCTGCTTCATATCAGAAAACATTCGTCACGGAGGCATTACAGAAGTGTCTTAGTGTACAGCATTGATCCTACCCAAAAAGGGGGTCCTATATACACCCTCGTACAGTTATGAAGCGTACCTTTCCTTGGGCTCGTTCCAGCATGCAGGGAAAACTCTGGATTCATAGACATTGCCAGAGATCCCTATACATATATCTATTCCAGTATGCCCCTATGTAAGCCTATATACCCCTATATGCCACCATACATCCCTAGCGCCGCGGGTCTGAAACATGACTGGGTTCAACTTCAGATGCACCCAAAAAACCAAGACTACTCAAAGCACAGGTGAAAAATCTGAACAAAAACTCAAACGCTCAAAGTGGGTTTTTCACCAACAAGGGTACTCAACTTATGCGCTCCAAAATGCTTGAATCCTTATGACTCCCAGAAGGTGATCCCTGAACTATTTTTTAGACCCCCGCCCCGAGTGAGTTTGGGGTGGTAGCGTCGTGTGATCACATGCTTCCAAGCGTCGGCACGGCCATGGCAATTGCTCTTGGGAGAACTGATGCATAAAGCCCAAGCAGAAGGGAGAAGCCCCACCTTGCCACACGCAAATAGGGTCTAGGATTTATGGTTTACGTAGGGTTTCAGGGTGTAGGATTTAGGGTTTAGGGGTTCAGGGTTTAAGGGTGTAGGACTTAGGGTTTTTGGTTTAGGGGTTCAGGAGTTTTAGGGTTAAGGGTTCAGGGTTTCCGCTAAATATCTGGGTAGTTCACAAAATTACGGTCCCATTTTTGGTAGCCCTACACATGAAATACCCCAATATAACCAAACGTGGCCCATAATTTTCAGAAAAAAAAATGACCAATATAGAACCCAAGATGCTATACTCCAGGGTTTAGGGTTTAGGGTTTAGGGCATGGGATCTGCAAAAGGGGACCATTGAAAAGTATTCCAAGGGTCTAGGGGGACAGCAAGCAGATTCTGGGGGTCAGTAGTCCCTTCAAGGAGCCTATAAGGATACGGTTTAGGGTTTAGGGTTTTAGGGTTTAGGGTTTTAGCGTTTAGGGAGTTAAATCGGGGTAATATTAAGGTAATCTTGGGGTTAGAACGGGATAATGGAAAAGAAAATGGAAACGACTATAATGGGTTTTATGAGGATTATAGGTTTATATTCCCCCTTGAGTAAATAGAATGTGGGGTATATGGGGATCTTATTATAATATATCCAAAGCCAGATTCTATCTACTTAAGGGGGACTATAATATTTAGAACCTTCCACATATCTGGGATCTTCAAACATGAGTGGTCCTTGTTGAAGAGATCCCTCCACTTCCCTAAACCCGGTTGTATTCAAGCTGGAAAGCAACACCCTAAAAGGTACGCCCCTGATGTCCAACTTCACAAGAACCCCGGGCGCCCGGCTTGCCGCTTTCATAATATCTCATCTAAGGCAGAGCTGCCAGAACACCTGAAGCTTGAGCCATCCTACATATCTTTTAGGGTTTAGAGTTTGGAGGGGACACTCCCAACTACTCATTTGGGGATGTCCCAAAATCAGGGGTACCTGTTTAAAGGGGTCCCTACAATCAGGATTATGATAATTTGGGGTCTATAATGGGCTCCCCATATTGCGGGAAACGTCCATTTCCTGAAAGTTTTGGAATTAAGGTTCCAGGGTCCCTCAAATAATCCTATAGGCCTTGCCACCCAGACAAACCTGACGTGAGCTTGATGACCAAAGTCTTTCGCCCTCGTTGCCTCCTTGCCAGGTGCAAAGAAGCTTTGTGAAGTTCGTGCGCAGGCCCATGGCATCTTCTACAGAAATTTCATCATGTCCTCTGAATCCCTAACAATCACAAAGCCTCCTGTTGCATAGACCAGTGCATGCCAAAATTACCGACCCAACTGTTGAAAACTCCATGCTTCATGCTTGAGCCGGAAGGGCGCAAGTTCCCATTAACAAGTAGTACCTTAGACCCCCAAAGACCTTCAGTTTTAGGACCCTATAGTATAATTCTTTATATAAAAACCCAAAACTGAAGGTCTTTGGGGTCTAAGGTATACCCTATAATCCAGGCCATCAGCAGCAGGGTCATGTAATTGAGGCTTTTTGGCGGCCACGCTACCCGAGTCTAGAAATTCCCGGGATGCCACATGGCACTTCTTTGGCGTAGGCATAGTATTCTTCCCCGAAGAACCTGGGTTGCTGTTAAGGAACTTAATTTAAGCTACTGTATTGGAGGGATTACTATATTGAGGAAACCCTATTATTTGCGAATTATACCCATAATGGCAACTGAATTTAAGTTCCTTAACAGCAACCAAGGAACTGCAGCAGCATCTCTTCTTCGTGTGGAATTCTGCCCGCGAAGAAGCGGAAGGAAACCCAGGCGTAGCAGCACGAGCAGATGGGATTGAGAAGGAGGATCTGTGTGGACACGCTCCACAAGAACCATCCAACATATCCAGGATGCCTGCACCAACCGTAAACCTTGGGGCAGAAGAGTAGCAGATTCATGTAAACGCAACATGAGGCAACAAGCTTCGCACAAATAGGAGGTCCGATAGCAATTTACGAAACAAGCCAGCAAATGCATCACTTTAACGTAGTGTTCTTTGGTGGCCATACCCAGAAAACTCAACCCTGACTCCAGCGCCGCAGACAGGAACCCTTTTCTGGGTTGCTGTTAAGGAGCTTAATTTAAGTTACCCTAAGGGGTATATATTGTAATTAATAGGGGTTCCCCAATATAGTAACTTAAACTAAGTTCCTTTATAGCAACCCAGCTTTTTGCAGACGACGGAGCCCCGTGCTTCACCAGCCGATGGGACGGATCCTTGTAGCACGCCACCAGATGCGTGAAGTTTGATCTTGCTGTGAATAGGGCAGCCTCGTGCATGTTAGCCCTGGGGACTAAAGTTTTAGTATATTGCTTGAAGGTCCCCCCCCTACCCCCCCCTAGACCTCTATATATCCCTTTATAGGTCCACCCAACCTGACTTTAGTCCATACCTCACCTCTCATTCTCAGCAACAGACAAGGGAGAGGAGCGCTGGGGGCCGAGGTAGGTAGAAACAATTTGATTTGTAATTTCTCAAAATAAGGGCACCTCAATATAGACCCCCAAGATACGATAATCCTTATTGTAGGGACCCGCCAAAAAAGCACATTTGATCTCGGTTGTCGTAGAGATGCAAGCAACAAACACGGCGATGGCTAACGGACTTGGAGGGTCGGGGGGACTTAGAAAGCACACCCAAAATATCCCCATTATCAACCTTCTTACTATGTCCGCCTGACCCTCCACCTCCAAGTAGCTTCTGAAAGTTTAGCGGTTGGGGGATGCTACAAAATTGCAGGATCTCTGGAGGAAGTGTAGCAGACTGAAGCTGTCCCCTTTTTCGGGGTCCCTAAAGTAAGGGTTGTAATGTTTTGGGGTCCAGCACACGAGGGTCTGTGCAGTTTCTTAGCTCAGCAAGACCGCCTTCGCCGCTACCCCTCCAGATGGATTCCTTCTCTAGGGTTCATGTGAGCTATAGTCTAAACTCCTTAAAGGGTGGTTATGTAAGGGATTATGTAGGGGAGTACTACAGGGCTTATTAAGGGGGATACTAGGAGTTTAGACTATAGCTCATGTGGAAGCCGCCTGGATCACACATTATCCCATCGAAAGCAGTTGGACAAGAAAAGTCTTGATGAGCACCCAAGCCACTGTTCTCAAAGCCCAGCCGGTCACAGCGAGCCCAAACCCCGCTATGGTAGCGATTCGCATCGCAAGGCCTGGCATGTGGAAGAGCAGCCAAAGGAGATAGGGTAGTTTCCAGAACAAGGGGAACCGCAATATAGACCCCCAAAATACCAGAATCCTTATTTAGGGGACCCCTAAAAACAACCCTAACTTTAGAAAACCCCATAGTTAGCTTCTGAACATGAGCAACTTCTGGGCCTGATAGTGTGAAGCCAAGCGCATGCCACAGCCAGTATTCACATATGGCAGCAATCATGGCCACACTGTAGCCGGCTGCCGGCACAGGTGTTAGGAGAAAACTCCGGAACTCCTCAGCTGCCGAACCACATGTGGTCCTTGCGCGCTTCGCCGCTATGGACTAGCACATAGCCCGCGCAATGCAGACAAAGGAGCTATCGTCTTGCTGTGGCAGACAGCTGCGAAGGTGAACTCGATTGCGTGGAACAGAGTAACAGCCACGAAAAAGAGCGGCCTTGGAACACCAAAATTCTGTTAGCTATGCCAGCCCCACCTCGAAGGGCTTAAAGGGGCACTATTGGGATAATGAAAATTAAAATGGAAACTACGAAACTAGGTTGGGATAGTATTTGGGATAATGGAAATAGAATGGAAACTACCCTAAACCCTAAACCTTAAAGGATTTAGGGACTTCTTCAGTTAAGGCAGGTAGCATCCGTGCATCTGGCTTCCTTAGCGGTGTATCATCGGCAGGTTGACGCTGCTTACCGGGAACTACTATAGTAGAGGGGTAACATAAGGGGTTAGGGTTTAGGGAGGGGTTACATAGGGATAATGGAGGATAAGATGGAAACTACTATTTAGGGTTGAGGGTTCTATTGGGATAATGGAAGACAAAATGGAAGCTACTACATTATGGCAGGATATATATATTGGGGCTCTAGTAGGGAATATGGGTTTAAGGTTTAGGGTTTAGGGACTTCCTAAACCCTAAATCCTAAACCCTAAACCCTAAGAAAAGTGCCAGACAGGCGTCAACATCTGACCCAAGCCGCTCCCCATGAGGCACCCCAGTAAAGCACAGATTGAGCTCAACACCGCCAATGAGCTGGCCTGACAAGGTAGTGCTTTTGAATATTGGTGTTTATACAGTAATGGGTAATGTTGGGGCCTGACAGGTTACATTGGGGATCTATTGGGATAATGGAAAAGAAAATGGAAACTAATATGGAAACTACTTCATTAAAATAAATTAGTGCTTTGAAAAGGCCTGACAAGGTAGTGCTTTTGAATATTGGGGTTATACAGTAATGGGTAATGTTGGGGCCTGACAGGTTACATTGGGGTTCTACTGGGGTTATATTGGGATAGCGGAACAGAAACTGGAAACATATGGAAACTACTCCATTATGATAAAGTAGTGCTTTGAAAAGCTTGTGAGGAGGCCCCGCATGCGCAAGACAAAGCCACTCGGCTTCGAGGCTTGCACGAGACGGGACTCAAGCAAGCATGTCATTTGAGCCCTTGACTAAATTTGTCGTATATCCCTTGATAGGTCCCCACAAAGTTGAACCAGCAGCTTGACCACATTACCATTTCGGGCTGTTCACCACCTGTTCTTGTTAGGGTTTGACAGGAGCTGGTCGCAGCGTATGGGAGGGTTTTCTTGGAATGCTTGCTTTGTCAAGGCCAGACCAAAACTGGTCGCGGTTGTCAGGGAGGGCGCTCCATTCAAAACGGGGGGGGCGTTTTCCAAAACCCAGTTACTAGTTGCGAGCGGTCCGCTGACTCTTGTCGCTGCTTGACATAAGTTGGACACTTCTGTCGCAGCTCATGCAGCTTGCATTCTTGCAGGTCCCCAACTGCTAGACCAACATGTTTTGATGTCTTCAGGCATCCAGCATTAAGAGCATAGCAGTTGAGCGCCGAGGGGGGGGTTCCCGACACTCAGCTGAAGACCATAAAGTTTCGGCGCCCGTTTCTGCAAACCTTAAGCACATTGTGCTTTCAACTAATGGCCCAGCTCAGCTTTGCGATCTGTGCGCTTTGACTCCTTGCGCTTGAAGGGCTGGATCTTGTTTTGGCTTCAGAAGGAGCCCAGCTTTAAAGCTGTCACTGCGTGAATCCTAAAATGCATTGCTTTCTCCAGCAGCCCAGTTTCGAGTGCAACATGTTGTGACTTCTTGCGGAACCCACTTCAGAAATCAACATGTGTTGAGCTTTGAAGGGCTTGCATTTGACATGTAGCTCGCGCTTCTCACCGTTATTACGCCTCGATTCAAACTGTTGGCCTAGGGGGGACAAACCAATCAAGGGAATCATGGGTTTGTTTAATGGAGGACATGCAGGGCCACAGCTCTTTTGAACGGACAATGATTTCCCTGGAGCATGTGGATGGATATTTGGACTTCCAGCAACACAGAGCGAACCATGCAAAAGCTGATGCTCCCACATGAAGCAGATCTTTCCTCACAACCTGGGTCTGGACCGAAAAGCTGTGCTTCACGAATTCTGTTCCAAAAGTAAGACGAGTACAATCAGTAAGAACAATAATTGAATTATGATGGTCACAGTACCAAGAGTACCCGTGATACAAGATGATACAAGTAACAAAGTTCGGTGTGATGTGGGTTTCCTGGCTCTTTCCTGGACATCGATGATCGAAAACAAAAATCGGCGGCTTGTTTTTCATGCCACGTTTTAAAGAACTGCCAATCCAGGGCCTCATCTGGAATGACGTTGACGGCTAAGAAGAAGGAAACCTGACTGCGCTGCAAGCCCTCGCGGCACTGCACATACAGGTGAGGATGACAGAAAAGTCTGCAATGGCTTGGCCGAGAGACCGCCGCAATGGATAGGGTCCCCTGACTGAGGGTGCTGAGAAACCAATAGCCTGCAGGCCATCTCTTCAGCTTGCATCAGGTAGAGGCACCCCTTGGGGTAATATTCGGGTTATAGTTATATTGGGGCTAATTATATGTTGACAATGGAAAAGAAAATGGAAACTACTATAACCCCAGCTGGGGTAAGCTCATCTCAGACTTCACTCGGCATTACCTTTGTTACCACCATTATTTCTGTTCCTAGTACTACTATCACTACTATTTACCTGTATTGCATGTATTACAACTATTACCATGACTAACATGAATATCATGATAACTACTGTTGCTGCTGTCAGTACTGTTTCAGCGACTTTTGAACCCAAGCAATACTACCAATAAGAATTAGTAGTGGCATGACTACTATTATTGGCATCACGCCAGGAAGCCGAATGCCAGCCCTGCGAAACCTGCGGCAGTCCCCAGGCACTGGACCCTCGGTCAGCATTGTTGCAAGATGTTTGTACTTCCATAATAAAGGAAAGATAACAGTAACCGTAATAGCACTCTAATCATAGATATGAGAAATGAATTAAGTCAGCAATAGTACTAACACTACTAAAAGCAACACAAGTAAATAAAAGAAGTCATATTAATGCATTAGACTGGTTGTCATCAAAAGCATGCGAGGCACTGCCGCACATGGCTAGACACCATACTGTCAGAATCGTCCTCCAGCATGAACTGGCCAGCCAACGATTTGTCACCCCTTGATGGCAATTGTCATGTGCCTACTGGCGAATGACTGCAATTGTCTTGTCTACAGGCGACGGTTGATGAACGCAAGTGAGGTATAGTCTAAACTCCTAGTATCCCCCTTGATGACCCGTATAATGCTCCCCAGTAAGATCCCCTATACAACTCATGAAGGAGTTTAAACTAGCTCAAGTGCATGTTGCATGCTCCAGCCTATACTAATCCTGCAGTGGCTACAAACGCGAATCAGCGTATCTTGGCTGCCCAGGAACTGCAGACACTGATGCTTAGAAGGCGGCTTGCTGGGCTACACTGCAAGCATCGAAGCATGTTTTCGCATGTCAGCTGGTCAGTCCAGGAGTTGCAGCACAGTACCATCTGCTGGTAGACACAAGACCCGGGAAGGCAGCACACAAGCAAACATCACTTTGCTAATCGCCCTTTGTAAGCAAGTTCATGCTGCTGCACAACTACGTAATTGCTAGCAGTGAGAAGCATTTTTGGTTGTTTGTCTTGCGAGTTGCCTTCAAAGAGACAGAAGCTTTGGTGTCGAGCGCAGGATGGATGACAGGCATCGTCCATTGGACGGCTCTGTTTTGCTGCCCGCCCAGAAACAGAGGCATGCTGGGAACATGCACGAGATTTCATTGCCTGGAAGGAATGGGCGGGTGACACTGATTGGACTTGCCTTCGTCGTATTTGACGACAGGCTCCTCCCTATACCTTTTTTACATGTCTTGCAGCTTCTTCTTCAGACGCGTGCTGTCTGCAATCATGCCAGGATTTTGTCTCATGTCCGGCCTTTCTCCGGTGTAGTAGTTCTTGTGGGTCGTCACCTGCATCATGATGGTGTGTCTCTGTAGCAGCTACTTCTCAACAACAAAGACGCTGCTGAGGTGTTGGCGAAGCGTCTCTTGTGGACACAGAACTTGTCCCTGAACTCGATGGTGGAAGCGTTCCTTGACAAGAGTTTGCCAACCCAGAGCAATGGAGAATACAGCAAGGTCGTGAGCAACATCAGAAGTCAGAATTCTGGAACCCTGAAAACCCCTGTTAGCATTACGCCTGAAAGATTCCACAGCTGGGATATGTGAAACTTTTACAACGCCTTTGTCTGCAGCGGACACCTCGAATGGCTGCCGAGCCACGCTAATGTACGAAATGTGAAGCGTAAAGCCCAAATACTGCCCAAATCCTGAAATCCTAGTCTCCCCCTCAATAATCCCTATAATAACCTGGCAGTCAGAGCACTTCAGCGGAACAGGGGCATCTTCCAAAGCAAGGCGTGAGCGTGTCCTAGGCACAGTGTCCAAAGGGTTTAGGGTTTAGGGAAAAGGGGGGAACTCTGAGAAGAGCTAATCACTTGTGATCATAAGCTGGTTCTGGGGGTCCTTGCAAAGAACTGTCTACGGAACATGTTTTGAAACTCTCATGTCTGCTTGGCGTGGAAGCATTAACGTACCATAGGTTCTGCTGCCAAAGGAAAAGCCAAGCCCAACACGCGTTGGGATTGTAGGGGACGAGAGGCTTCCTGATTGGCCCAAGTCACTCTACGTGCGCCTAAATTCTCAAAGCGAAAAAGAACGGCGGTGCCTGTCCATGGAAGCATAGCAGTGGGGAATTTCACGGAAGCGGTCCTCATGCCGACATCAATGGCCAAGTCTGCCAAATCAAGAGAGCAAAGCAAGTTGGTCGGTTGGTCCTGGTACTCCGACACTGCTGTGAAGCGAGTGGCGAAATCTGTGAGCCCTTTGGATTTCTTGCCATGCCTACACACCAGGACATCCTACCTTTCTTAGGATTTCAAGCCGAGACGAAACCAGCAAAGGCACGGGATGGCCATAATGCCACCGCAGACGAGCATGAACCCGGTGGCTGAGCCGACCTGGCAGCAGCTTGCCAGGTGCAGATTGTAAATCTGGAGCACAGAGAGGATACGCCTTCGAGTTCTTCAGAAACGCCAGGCTGCCCTCGCTTTGACTCTTCTGCATGGCTGCGAAAGCCTGAGCTGGTTTCCTAGAATTCCTTGCTTTGTTCCGCAAGGCTCACTAGAAACAGCCAGAAGTAAATAGCGGGTCTCCGCGCGAGAAACAAGATGCGCGCACAACTATTCGCAACAAATATGACGCGAACCCCACCACTCAAGAGGGGCGTCAGCACACCAAGCTTTACTTGGTCAGTTGCCTGACTTGCAGCCAAGCAACCCTACACAAACACAATTGGCTCAGACAGGTCTACGCTTCACACCTCTACTCCGCCTGGTTTGGAGCCCACGAGGCATACCAGTGGCGACATGCACACCAATGTGCAAGCAGCTTTTGGCTTACGTAAAATGGAATGTTTGGGCACAAGACAGAAGGGTTTAGGGTTTTAGTGTTCACCAAATCGCAAAACTTCACCTGTTACTTCTCCGCGTTTGCTTCTGGGGGGCAGGGTCAGGCCTGGAAGATGCCTCAGGCTACTGTGGGGTTTGGAGTGGGGTGCGTAGTTGCTTGGGGCTAGGAAGGTGGGGTTTTAGAATGGCTTTAGAGTCATGGTATAGGGTGTTGAATGGCTCTTTTGCATGTCATCGTCCAATGCTCAGACACTACTACGCCAGCGCCATAGCATGGTAGACAGACTCAGATTTCCATAGCCATGCAGCAGAGCGCAACAATAAACGGCCGTGTCCGTTCTATGGCACATGTCCAGAGTCCTCGAGCTGTAGGCCTCACTACAAGCTTCTGCGCCCGGAGCCTTCTGCTTCCGCAGCCAGATAAATGTGAGAACCTTGCAAGCCAACCCCTCCGGTAGATGTCAATAATAGGCACTGTAATTGGACACCTGAATTCCCATGACTTCTAGTTCTTAACATGCCGGAAGGTTGAATCAGGTGCCAAGACACCTGCGAGGAACAATGCAAGCGCAGTCAGCCTACATCAAACACTAAAAACTTGACACGACGAATTTGCTTCAGCAGACAACATGGCTGTTCGGCGTGAGCGCGCGTGACAAATCTGTTCCTGAAAACTTCTCTGCATGACATCACCAATCCATCTGCTCATGACCTCTGCCACGTGGCTGTTCACGTGCTGGAAACCGACAGTCTGCTGGATCAGGGACTTGACTTTCTGTTCATCCTCCGCTTTCCATGCCTCTGCCCTTTCTGAGTCGACACTGCTGATGGACCGTGTGATGTGGTCGATGCCGGTGCTGCCGAGGGACAGCTGCAAGCGCAACTGATCAGTAGACGATGGTGGCATGACAAAGCTCACTGGAACCTGCAGAGTGGATGCAACAAATTGTTCGTAGACTGTCCACACCCTACTCAAATAGATTGGCCGATCCCAGGTATCCAAAATAGCCACCATCCGCCCGATGCGGCGCAGATTTGCCTCAAAAACTTCTTCGAGGTCAGCGCTGCCAGCTGTAGTCTCCTCGACTATAATGCGAAATTGATTGTTTGTAAAGAAGCACATGAAGAAAAATACGTTCCCTGCGGCAGCTGTCGAGCTCATACTGGCAGAGTAGGCTTCCAGGGCACCCTTCACCTGAGACAGTGCGTACCTCCATGTCCAGCTCATAAAGTGCGTCTGCTCGCGGCGATGCTCCCGAGGTAACCAGTCCACCAAGGCGCAGCCCAACCGACCATCGCGGCGGCACAGCACATCCCAGCCGATGGCCGCGTCAGTCAACCAAAACGAGTCCTCCCAGACAGGCGCTCAACAACAACATGTAACAACAAAAGACTTCATCAGGAGCTCCATATGGAGCAGCGTGGTCGCAGAAGCTCAAACTTTAGACGTTAGACAACACTCCTTCATCTCATTGAAGGTCGGGTCGTTCTTGCCGGTGCGCTTAGTCGCCAGGTCAGAGAAACTTTCAGAGAGAAGGTAGCTCATGCCAACTCCCGCCCTATGGCTCTGCACAGACATAATGTCGGCAAGCTTCCTCTCAACATTCGAAGTGCCCACACCCAGCCGCTGATGCAGGGCTTTGTAGCACTTCGCTGCATGCGCTGGGTCGCCTCACATGTCCTCATAGAGCTGTCTCTCAGCCTCGTCGAGGATCTTTGCTCTTCGGCCAGCCGCACGACGAAAAAACATGCACGCAAGCACAGTCAAGCTGGCAAAAGCAATGGCGGCCAAGGGCAGGTGCCACCAAACGCAGCCGTCCTCCCAATAGACCAGTAAGGGGAACGTGCATACTGCACAGACGTCCGGTTGAGCTGCTGACACTGGAAAGTCCTCGCAATCCACGCAGCCAAGCCCGTTCGGCGCAGGAGCTGCCCGCTGACGACAGGGTGGCTGTTCAAAGGACGGTGCATCACAGAACATGCCAACCATTTCGGCAGCGGTCACGTTCCAGGAATTCAGTGGTTGGTTAAACGCCTTTGCCCGTTCAAACATGGATCTCATCGACCTCACTGAGCATGTGTTCCAAGCCCCTAACGGCTGGTTGAACGATACTGCATCTTTGAACATATAAGTCATGTCCGTCACTTGCGACGTGTCCCAGGTACCAATCGGCTGGTTGAAGGCAGCAGCACCCTGGAACATGGAGTTCATGGATGTTACTGCTGAGGTCTTCCAGGAGCCAATCGGTTGATTGAAGGCCTTTGCACCCCGGAAGGCCCCTGCCATGTTCTTTACGGACGAAGTATTCCATGCATCTGTTGGCTGGTTGAAGGCTACTGCACCTCTGAACACCTCCTCTAGGCTTTGCACAGCCGATGTGTCCCATGAGCCAATCGGCTGATCGAAGGCAGTAGCATAACGGAACATGCGAAACATGCTAGTGAAGCTTGAAGTAACCCAGGAGCCAATCGGCTGATTGAAGGCGGTAGCACCCATAAACATCCCAGTGGTATCAATCACGTTTGACACGTCCCAGGTGCCCACGGGTTGGTTGAAAGATACCGCACGATAGAACATCCACTGCATGTGTGTCACGTGAGTCGTGTTCCATGCGCTGATCGATTGGTTGAAGGCCTTGGCTGCACCGAAGGTGCGGTTCATGCTTCTGACATTTGATGTGTCCCACCTGCCGATGGGTTGGTCGAACGCTGAAGCGATGTAGAACATGTAACTCATATCCGTCACTTGCGAGGTATTCCAGGATCCAATCGGTTGATTGAAGGCCTTTGCACCCCAGAAGGCCTCTGCCATGTTCTTTACGGACGAAGTATTCCATGCATCTATTGGCTGGTTGCAGGCTGCTGCAAGTTTGAACACCCTCCTTAGGCTTCGCACAGCCGATGTGTCCCATGAGCCAATCGGTTGATTGAAGGCTCTTGCTCGGCAGAACATGCTGCTCATGTCTCTCACAGAAGATGTATTCCAGCCAGCCAGGGGTTGGTTGAACGCAACTGCATCTTCGAACATCATTGCCATGGTTGTGACGCGCGAAGTGTCCCATGACCCTATAGACTGGTTGAACGAGGATGCATCCACGAACATGGACTTCGTGTTGGTGACTTGCGATGTGTCCCAAGTACCAATCGGCTCGTTGAAGGCAGCAGCACCCTGGAACATGAATTCCATGGATGTTACTGCTGAGGTCTTCCAGGAGTGTATAGGTTGATTGAAGGCCCTCGCGCCACAGAACATGCTTTTCATGCTGGTCACCGCCGATGTCTGCCATGAGCCAAGAGGCTGATTGAAAGCCCTTGCATTGTAAAATGTCCAGCGCATGTCGGTCACAAGCTACGTATTCCATGAGCTGAGCGGCTGGTTGAACGAAGAAGCATCGTCGAACATGGCCGCAATGGTTGTAACGTGGGACATATCCCAAGCGTCAATTCCTTGATTGAAGGCCATGGCATTGCGGAACATGTCTTCCATATCTGTCACCGATGACGTATTCCACTTACCAAGAGGCTGATTAAACGATACTGCATCTCTGAACATGTACTTCATGCTGGTGACTTGCAATGTGTCCCAAGTACCAATCGGCTCGTTGAAGGCAGCAGCACCCTGGAACATGAATTCCATGGATGTTACTGCTGAGGTCTTCCAGGATCCAATCGGTTGATTGAAAGACGCAGCTCCGCTGAACGTGCGGCTCATGGTAGTCACTGCGGAGGTGTTCCACTGGCTGATGTCCGCATTGAAACTGGCCAAGTCTTCGAAAAGCCTGCTGAAGTCAGTGACCCGGGAAACATCCCAATTTTGAATCTTGCCGTATTTGGTCACCAATGAAGATGTCTGGCCCTCTTCCCAGGTCACCAAGGCAGCCCGTAACTCGGCTCGGTCATTGAAGGTAGAGAAGCCACGGCCGCGCGCCACCAGGCACAGCACAAAGCAAACCAAACTGCATGGCATGGGGAACCAACTACACGTAATCCTGTATCTGACGCCTTTCCGTCTAGAGGTATGACTAACTTTGCCCAAAGCTCGTATTGCTACATGAAAGTTGCGTCTTTGCAGTGCCCTGCATTTGATGGCAACGGACCACATGCCCTCCTGACTCTGCCTGTCAGGGATAAGATTAAAGTAGGCACTGTTTCAAGAGCCAAATGGCTTGAATTTGTACAGGGGCGCATTCGGATGCCCGTGAACACCGAAGTAGGGCAGCCTCTTCGCAATCTTTACTCGTCCCCGCCGCGTGCTGGACTGCGTGGGCGGCTTCTTGGCCTGTCATAAGCTAAAAACAGTCGCCTGAGTTGGCGGCGCGACAAACCCTCCAAGAGAAGGGGGCAAAAGAACTGGCCTCCATGTGGCTAACCATCCTTAATCCTGCGCGACTGCTCCGGTTGTCGATATGCATTACACACGACGTGTTTGGAAGCTAAATTTGTTGGAAGCAGATTCGTGCAGTGCGTTGAGCACCATTTTCAAGCTCAACAGGCTGTATTCCAAAAGTTGTGAATAATCAGTTTTTGGATTAAGCCCTTTCTTCAAAGCCCAATATCTTACAAGAAATGCTTAGGACAGTTGCGGGTAACCAGTTTGTGGATGGCTCTGATTTTGTGGACTGTGAGGATGGTTGACTGGGACGCTCCCACAAAAGCTCGATTTTTGGCCAAGCTGTTCAAACTCTCCATGCGACAGCAAGCGTTCAAGCCTGAATGTAAGGATGCACTGCTGCAATGATGTCAATGATGTTCCACTGCAGACAGGATGATCCACGCAAGCGCCCGAGATGTCTAGACTCTCCATTTGAGACTATGATCTCGAGCCAAACTGTGAGGAGGCCGTTGGAGGGTGGCACAGCACCCTCATTTGCAAAACAACTACGAACAAACGTCAGATGGCATGGGGTGGCGCAGGCCCCCTCCCATTTGCAAAACATGCATGACAATTGGAAGATCGTGTTTCCGTCTTGTCGCAAATCCACGCAGTCGTTCCTTTGGGCTCAGCACATAGTTAGCCTGTAAAACAGCAGCCCGAGGGCTCAGGCCTCATCCGGGCCATGCGCCAGCAGTCCCCCCAAGGCCGGCTCGCGGCCGGTCCGAGAGGAGCTCTCGCAGTGTCGACGCAAGCCCGCCCATGGCCGCGACAGACACCATCGCTGCATGGTCCGCTGCTCCGAAAGGGTAGGTTCAATGTCAAGCAAACGTCCAAAGAAAATGGAAAACAGGCCCGCTGCGCCTCGCAGGGCATGTGGGCCCCTGATCCATTCGCGTGCGAGCAGCCCGATGAACTGGAGGAACTCTCCGTGGATGCGTCCTCCGCATTCGATGCCAAGGACGTGGGCGCTCAGAAGAGTTCAGGGACAAACTTGTTGGGCTCATTGGAGCCACGATCAAGCAGCCCTAGCAGCAGCAGGATCATGCTCCTGGCATCCTTTGGGGTTCAGCGTTTACAGGACACACTTGCGTTCAGGCCGGTAAGCTCGGCATCATTGAGTGCTCGGGACAAAGGCTGTGGACGAACTGATTGGTTTTCTTGGCTCTACGTGGGTGTGCATTTTTTTTTTCAAAAAATTGGTGCGGTACTTTTTGTTTTAAGGCTAGGGGGCTGGAATAGGATGACGCTCCACACGAGAGCGCGATTCTTAATGAAAAAGATTAAAATTAAAATGATGAAACATGTTGAAAGGTGTTGAAGATGATGAGAAATGATGACAATGTTGAAGTCATGAAAAATCATGAATAATGATTAAAGAATCATATAGAAAATAATGGAAAATTATTGGAAAATGAAACATGAAAATGTTGAGGAATGTGAAAATAAAGCTTCGTGAAACATGATGAAAATGATGACAATAATCAAAACTATGGAAAATGAATGATGTTGAAAAATGATTGCAAATGATCAAAGCCTATATTCATGATGAGAAAATAACCTTTAAACAAAGGCGGGGGGTTGGGGGGGGCCGCAGCCCCTCCCGCCGTTTGCAAACAAAATGATCTGCATAGCCTCCCCTTACTTATGACATAAAGCCTTTTTGCTACAGCAAGCTTGGATAGCATCAACAAATGCTGCGGGGGAGATCATGCAAAGTCATGAGATGAAAAAAAGCCAGAAAGTCAAGTAAGCGAAGAAGCCAAGAAGCCGAAAAGTCAAAAAGCAAGGAAGCCAAAAAGCCAAAAAGCCAAGAAACCAAGAAGCCAACAGACCGAGAAAAATCATATAAACAAGAAACAAGAAGCCAAGAAACCGAAAAGCGACGCAGGAAAATGCCGCGAGAGCTCGATTTCGAGAAAATGAGGCCATTGCACGCGAGAGCTCCTTTTCGGGGCCAAGAAGTTAGTACGCTCCATCCGAGAGGTTGATTTGGAGACAAAATGTGAGCACGCTCCATGCAAGAGCTCGATTTTGCGAGAAAATGCGAGGACGCTCCACGCGAGAGCTCCATTCGAGACCAAAATGTGAAGACGCTCCACGCCAGAGTCACCCCGAACGAAAACAAACTGTCAACAAAAAAGTCCCCAATCTGTGCTGCGGAACTACCTCACATTCTTCTTCCACTCTGTTCCTACTGATTGTGT